AAAAAAATTCAAGGTAGCGAGTTACAAACTATTCATTCAAAAGTTCCTCCTGCCCCTGTGGAGTTGCATAAACAGCAGAATGGAAGAATATTCCACTCACAAACCAACCAATCAAAAAGAAAAATATGAAAGAAGAGAAGATGAAGAAATCCATTTGGTTGATGGTATGGTGGGCGCAGAAGCAATCAAGATGGAGTCTTGGTGAATAATGGATGATTGGGGAAGTTCAACAATTCTGGACAGAGGAGACATTGGGGAAGTAAAAGAGAAGATCTTCTCAATATCAAATTAGGTGGCCGACTTGTGTCGACCAGCGAGACCTTCTCTCCCTTTCACTGATGAAGGATATTCCTCACATTCCAACAACTTATCTTCATTATCAGGTAAGGTGTTTTTGGCTCACTAGAAATCCTCAATTAGATAAATTGAGTGTCGGCAAAGAAATATCCATGTATAGCTTAATCAATACTATGGTCCCATATTCTATAACAATGACAAAATTGAGCTAATGTGATAAATGCTTCCACACTATAATAAATGCATTATTAAATTGTGTCCAGACTACACATACGCACAAACAAAATAGTTGAACAACATGACACATAGTGATACTATTATAACTCCATTTCTCATGTTCGTAAATATGAAAAGCAAACATGGTTAAAATTCATTATTTTTAATTTCATGCTAACAAGTTAAATAAGAGCTTTATTTTAAGATCAATATTGATATGGTTTATTAAATTATATTAATATATATTGTCGTTATGAAATGCTTGAAATTTGTTATTGTGGAAATTATTTATATGATCATGTTCATATTTATGGATTGACCCATATGATATGAAAATAAATATGTGTGGCTACATAGACCGTCCAGTGCGGCTCTGCCGCCGGCAAGTGATATTTAGCCAACGGGTCAACTGTTGAAATATGAAAAATCATGTGAAATAGTCGAGCAGTGTATCCACTGAAATAGACAATACAAAAGAAGATTTGATCAACTAAGTGAACCGGTCAATGTATTGAATAATGATGACCGGTGATGGCCAGATGATAAGTGTATTGAATAATGATGACCGGTGATGGCCAGATGATAAGTGTATTGAATAATGATGACCGGTGATGGCCAAATGAGAAACATATTAATGATAACCGGTGATATGGAATGGCCATATGATATGGTCATGTGCAAACAAATATACATATAAAAGGATATAAATGGCTATATATATACATGGGCCGACCAGTGCGGCTCTGCCGCCGGCGACGGGCAGTACAAATTAAGTGATAGCCGATGAATGAAATTAATGATACTGTGTATCCGGCCATATGAAAAGCTGATTAAAGTCCTGATCATGAAAGGACATTATATGGACTAATATGATCCTAGAGAAATAATTGATAAATTCTCCAAATTTATGGAAAAACGAATATTGACGAGATGGTACCAGTAGTTACCACGTGATTAATGTGATGTCGAAAGTTATGATATAATGATTAAATGATATCCTTGTATAAATGGTACTTAAAACTACCATATAACGATTAAACAAAATGATGAAATGGTACCAGAAGCTACCATTGGATGATTGAACAAAAATGAGAAAATGATACCAAAAGTTACCAGTTATGGGTGATCACACAAAATAATTTCTTAATATAGTAAATGAGTCTAAGGGACTATATCAGAACACATTGAGATTCGAGATCATACATATATTACAATAAAGTGCTACAGAATAAGCACATATGACAATGATTGTAGTCATGAAGTACTACACACTTATTATTACTGAGAAACAAGTACAAAATGTTCAGATGGTGGAAATATGGAAAAGAGGCAGTAAATACTCGATGAATACAAAATACGCAAAGATTACATAATAGAACCCATAAAAGAAGGGTGCGTCTCGAGAGTGTAAAACTCCGTAACTCTGCCACCCATGAATGATATCTGGGTTCATATTTGAATAATATCTGGGTTCATAATGAGAGATCTAAAGGATCAAAAGCTCTTTTTCGCTTGACCCCTTGTGTTTCCACAGAATCTTGAAATGTGATGCATTCTTGAAGCTTTTTGATAAGTTCAGCAGACGTGTCAGCAGATTTGAATACTTCTCTCATTGAAGGAGATATAAAGGTTTGATATACTCCTATGTCTAAAAATCCAAGCAAACCATGAAAGAAGTTATTAAAGTTCAATAGACCTATGGGCTTGTTATGAAGTTTCAATTCTGCCCATAAAGCAATGGTGAACATTGTCATTAGCGTTCCATACCCGCCTGGAAGAATGATAAAAGCATCGCTATTGTTCACCATATCCATCATACAATCATGAATGGAATGAGTTAACATCATGCTTGTGGAATCCTTGACGACCTTTGTTGAAGCTCTACGAAAAGGTATGATACTTTTCACTTCTATCTCAAAACATTGTCCAGCCATTAAGAGACTATCATAGAAAGTATTGCTAGTCCCTCCATACAGCAAATTGATTTTTTGATTCCCCATCTCTTTGACTAACTGACTTACAATATCAATAGTTTGAGAAAAACTTACCAGTTTAGAACCACCAAGAACACATATGGTTTTGATCGGTTGAAGAAAATTATTACCTTGCGAAGACTCTGAAACATCCATCTATTTATTGATAAACTGAATTTTTCAAAACTTTGTGAGGCATATGATTATGATGAACGACTCGCTATTTAAATAGAAAGTTTTACAAAGCAATAAATAATTTTACTGTTTTCTTCTGACAATTGCAACTGACAGATAAGGTGTTGGGTTTTAAATAAATCTTATCTGTCGGCAACTATAAGTTTTTCTAGAAAATTACAGTACAACATACTAAACTGTATTAGTATGATTTTTCGTACTAACAAGACCAATTTTACAAACTTGATCTTTTGAAATAATATTTTTGAGACTATAACGTTCTTCTTCACTTTTGAACTGAGTCCATAAAGACATAAGCTCACGATGCACATATCCACTAGGATGTGTCTCAAGAATCTGTTGAATCGTGTGATCCAGAGACTCCTTACTCAATCCATCCTTTATAAATGATATTTTATCTTCTCGGTTTTTGGACACGTACCCCACAGATATACATCGTGTGTCACAAGTCCATCGAGCGCATTTGAAGCATCCACCTAACCTTTTTGCTCTTCGTTTCTTTGCATAAGTACTTTTACCCATACCTGGCATATATTTATATGAATTTGGAAACTCTCCAGACAATCGAACTTGTGCTTCGATCAACCATCTAACATCATTTGGAATACCATTATTCATTAGCATCCTCAATCTCTCTAATCGAGATCGATAAATCCTTTTTATGATATTTTTCGGAAGAAAAGAATAATATTTACGGATATTTGAGAGTGCTAAATCCATTTGTAAATTCGGACCATTGTTAAAGAAAATTGAATGAATTACTTGATAATTTATAGAAAAATATGATGCGTATGAGATACGACTCTGGACTTAAACAGTGTTCAAAAGTATGAGTGTCAGACAGCATGATACGATTCTGGATTTAAACAGTGGTTAAAAGATATTATACCAGAGCCTACACTTAAAGTGCATTTATTGCCGCCGAAAGATGATGTGAAATGTTTGTGATAAACATGTCACAACGAATTATTGTGATCACTTTAAAAATGTTTACCGATATTATTGATGATGGTTTGCATGATGAACTTATTCTTTGATTATATGAGATGTTTGTTCTCGATTGGTGAAAAATATTACTAGCTAAATATTTGTGAATCGATATTTGATCAATCTGAGTATAAAAGGGGTATGATATGGGCCCACTACCCCTCCATGTGTGCTACTAGATATTATGGATCCACTAGATAGCCACATGTGTGTGATTCGTAACCTGAAGTTACGAGATGATTTGATCAAAGAATGTGTATATGACATATAACCTGAAGTTACGAGATGGTTTGATCTAAAGATGACACAAGATGATTATGAAAGAATGAAAATAAGTGTCATATGAAAGTGATGAAGCTAGTAATATACTCACCTGATATGATGAACTCTTGAAAGAAAAATGTGCACACTACAAATGATATGAGTTCAAAGTCCTCCAAATTTATGTTGAAATCGAGAACAAAATAGAGACTATATGAACTCCCCTCAAGAAATTCAATACTAAAAATACAGATCAGGGATCTGTTAAGATAAGGGGGAGAATCAATGATCGAAATTTGGAAATGATATATGCATCACACTGAGAGTGTGCGAATCATAAACTGTATGATACTGATGATGTGAAATATATGAAATGATATGTTGGTGGAATAATACGCTGGAAGCGTTGACATTGTGCAAATTGAAATCCCCCAAATAAGTGATGAAAGGAGGCATATACATTGATGAAATCAATTGATAGTGAGATATCTCAATATATTACGTGGAATAATGGAAATGAATAAGTGTCGACACAAACAAATAAATAGCGCTATATAAATGATGTTGACGAGAATGAAATCAGCTGAAATGTGAATATTGGGAACTATTGGCAGTAACACCATTGAAATCAATTGATGATGAGAATGAGTTTAAGAATAAACGTTGCACAAAGCATGATATGACATATTGTCATGAATACCATCAGTATCTGAAAATCTGAACGAATTTATATGATACTCATACAAATTATGGAAAGATTATTATGGTGAATATATGAAATACGCGTTGTACTCTTTTTCCCTTGACTAAGGTTTTGTCCCATTGGGTTTTCCTAGCAAGGTTTTTAATGAGGCAACAAGGATAGCGTATTCACATGAATAGTGTACTCTTTTTCCTTCATTAGGATTTTGTCCCACTGGGTTTTTCCTAATAAGGTTTTAACGAGGCATATTCATGGTATCATGAGCACTATTGGATAAATGATATGATTCCTCACGGTGATAAGAGAGACTGGAGTAGCTGTACTCTTTTTTCTTCGATCAAGTTTTTTCCCACTGGGTTTTCTTGACAAGGTTTTAACGAGGCAGCACGTGGATACTCCACTAAAGATGATCTATTTGAGGGGGAGCAAAGTTGTGCTTCCACGATGATCAGGTTTTGTCCCACCAAGTTTTCCTGAAGAAACAATGTTATGATTTCAAGATGATCAGGTTTTGTCCTACCGGGTTTTCCTGACGTGCTGAAGCGATGGTACCTGATGGCCACAAGATACACTTGAAGATGTGCAGATTGGGATTTGTTCAAATCAGTTAAAATATGTTTAGAAAATAGTCATTCAAGGGGGAGTGTTATGAAATAATAAAATAATGTATGTGAATGACTATTTTGCCCTCGATGTATTTGTATTATTACGAGTTGTGCCATCAGGAGTTTCCTATAAATAGGAGCTTCAGTTATAATGAAAAACACACCTAAGAGAATACATTTTCTCTATTCTCTCTCTTTCTCTCTAGTTTTATAACAAAAGTAATATTTTATGACAGAAATATTCTCAGTTAACCCCTAATTTACATTAAGTGCCACCAACTAACAACACCACTATACTTGACGACAATAAAAATTGAAAACACTTTTTGGCAGATCTACAGATGAGTCGAACATCCCATTCTCCACCATAGAAAAAAGGTACTTCGCGACTGGGATGAGGTTACCTTTGTTTGCTCATTTTATTTTCTTCTCGCCTATGCCCGGTTGTTGAATCTGATCTGTGCACTGTTTTTTTTTTTTTTTCAGCTGCAGTGTCTAAAAGGCCCGATTTATTCCGTGCAATAATTGTTTTTCTGGCACAACGGTAATGGGTTTTGGATTTGTGGTTGATTGGAATGAATTGTGTATTACTGTTTTTTATTTCTTATCCGAAGTGTACAGTATGAAAGAGTGAAAGTGGGGTTAACAATAATGTGATGTGGTTTTGCATATTCACTTTTTTCGTGTTCAATATTTAGATTTTTTTGTGGGTGTTTTTTGTTGACTAAAGCTAACCATATGTGCCTATTACGAAAGAAGTCAAATATGGACTGGGGCATTCTCGCAAAAATTAACAAATGGGATAAGAGGCGAATAGATTGACCTGAAAGTGCCTTTTGAAGTTTCTCATTATTTGGTTTTTTGCTTTTCTGCTACTAAGAACCTCGACACGCAGCAACATGATATTCATCTATATTTGGTTTTCCACAGCGGATTACCGGTCTCCGACTCAATTACATCGAGCCTTCTCTTTGAGGTACCGGTTTTGTTGACGGTATCTACGTGTATGTGATAGGTGGAAGAAAGTGTTAATTTTGATGGGCCGTATTGCAATAACTATAAAGATTTGCTTCCCAACGAAATGGTGTTGTTAAAAAACTCTGATAAAAGAAAGGGTGTTAGTACAATATGTTGAAGATGGTCATATGAAAAGTTTCTTTTAAATATCATGTACATGCGTTTTTGCCTTCATTATTACTTATTTACCTCTGTATTACATTCTTGAAGTGAACATGGACATTGAAATGGAAGAACTTGAAGTTGTCATGATCGTTGAGGAAATCATGAATATGTTGACCACTATTTTTTTGCTTGCCATTTTTTACCTTAAACTTGTGAGGCAAAAAAGACATCGTATTAGAATGCGAGGGCGAAACGTGCGGGCTTCCTTCAAAATGTCTGACCGCCTTCCTAGGCAAGTAGAACATATGCAAGAGATTATATGCATTAGCGACAGAGTTTGTGTCGAACAACTACGTATGGATAGAAATGCATTTGGTCGGTTATGCTATCTTTTGGAGCATGTTGGAAAACTAGATAGTACCCGAAATGTGCAAGTTAGCGAGCAAGTGGCCATTTTCTTGAGCGTATTAAGCCATCATAAAAAAACGTGGTGGTTAAATACGATTTCAAACGTTCCGGTGAAACCATTAGCAAGGTATTTCATAGAGTGCTTAAAGCTGTGCTGCGTTTATACCCGATTACCATCGTACAACCTAAACCTGTTGATGATTCTAACAGTGATTGGAGATGGAAATGGTTCAAGGTGCGTAGTGATATTTAAAACTTTGGAAAGAGGAATAAATAATCATACAACGAATGGTCTATGATGTATTTAATTATGTTAACTATACCATGCAGGGATGCTTGGGCGCATTAGATGGAACGTATATTCCAGTACGTGTCCCTGGTAGATTGCACCCGAGGTATAGAAATAGAAAAAGCAGAGTTTCTGTCAATGTCCTAGGCGTATGCGATGTCGATATGAATTTTTCATACGTGTTGGTTGGTTGGGAAGGGTCTGCTGCAGACAGTAGAGTTTTAAGAGATGTTGTACGGCGAGATGGTGGGTTACGTGTTCCTACGGGTGAGTATCTCTTCACAAAAATAGTAGCTTTCATTTCACTGTTAAGTTGGTACTAAATTTTAAACATTGTAAATTTTAATTTTTTTTCACTATAATATTTTGGTTTAATGGTGTTACAGGAAATTACTATCTTTGCGACGGTGGACACACAAATGGTCCGGGATTTCTAGCACCGTTTAGAGGAGTGCTCTATCATTTGAATGAATTTGGAGAAGGTCCTTGAGCACCTAGAAATCATAGAGAATTGTATAACCTTAGATACGCTAGAGCAAGGAACGTAATTGAGAGGGCATTCGGAGTTTTGAAGATGAGATGGGCCGTCCTTAGGAGTAAAACATTTTTCGACCTAGTTACTCAAAATAGAGTGATTTTAGCTTGTTGTCTTCTTCAAAACTTCATTCGTGCTACCATGAATAATGATCCTATGGAGATTGAAGACGATGATTTTGTTAACGAGACAAACACCCAAGAACCACTAGATCCACCGAGTGACTATGTCCACGTTGTTGAGCCTACTAATGAGTGGACAACTTGGAGGGAAGCCCTAGCTATTTCTATGTTCAATGAGTGGCGTGGCTCCGATTGAAATTCATTTTTTTTCTTTTTTTCTATATTTTCTGGATTGTTTAAGTTCTGTACTATGCAAACCATGGTGAAGCATTCTCATTTGATGTACTGGCGTAGAGATGTTTGATTAAAACTTCTTTCATGTTTGAGGCATTGAAGATTACTTTTATGTTGCTGTTCTAATTTGCTTCCTTTAAATATATGTATGTTCAAGTTTGTTAGTAACGTTTAACTAACGCTTATGATTTTTAGTTTCTCTAATTTTTTAGTTATGGACTCTACAACTAGCGTGGGCCGTGGCACAAACCAAAACAACCAACGCCGCAGTTGGACAGTTGAAGAAGAACGGGCATTAATCCAAGGATTGAAGGATCTCGTCGCACGTGGATGGAAAGCCGACAATGGCTTTCGTTCGGGGTACACGACTATTCTTGAGCAATATATGAGGCAACAGTTTCCAACAACAACCATTAGAGCCGACCCGCATATTTCTTCGAAGATTACAGTGTGGAAAAAAAATTATATTTTACTGGCACCCCTACTAGCCCAGACTTCTGGTGTTGGGTGGTCTGAAACCGGACACATGCTAGAAGTCGATGAACCAATTTGGAAAGATTATGTCCAGGTTAGCATTACCATCTGCTTTATCATTTTGTTTATTCAAATATGATCCATGTTATGAATTGGTTGTGAATCATTCTACTCACCCAACGTTGAACTGAAGGTCTATCCGAAAGCAAAAGCATTGCGCAACAAGTCCTGGCCATTTTATGCAGATTGGGTAGAGATTTTCGGAAAGGACCGCGCAACAGGAGAGGGTGCCGAAGGTTTTGCAGATGCGTTAAATGAAGTCTTGACTAATACGGGTGACGATGGGCACCCACATGTCAATTCTAGGAATGACGGGATTGGTTGTAGCTTTGAAGGCAATGAGCATGAAACGGAGTCGTCTTCGCTGAATGGTGTTGAGAGTAGTGCCTCTGGAAAGGGTAAACGTGTAGGCAAGCGCAAACGGTTTGTAGAGCCGGAGGACCAAGTGGTTGGGCTGCTATCTACATTATGCGAAAAGGCCGACCAACGCTTTTCGCAAATGGTGGAACGGATTGGGTTTCAACACGATGCGAAGGAGCAACGCAAGGCTTTGTATGAGGCGTTGAATTGTCTGCCGACACTGAGTACCGAAGAAAAGTTTATGGTCACCAAGTACTTTTGTAAGAATAATGAAGAGCTGGACATATTTTTTAGCCTGCCAGACGACACAAAAGCTTCAATGGTGAAGATGATCCTCAAAAAAAGGTTATAGTTCGGAATTACGCTTACTATGCTTTTGTTACCATGGGTACTATGCTTTTGTCATGTATTGTCTTTTATTTTTGTTGGACTTACGCTTACTATGCTTTTGTTACCATGGGTACTATGCTATCCTGATATAACATTGACTGTGTTTTCCAATGTTTTGCATGAAAACATTACATGCTAGTGATGTATTAATTTGTTTTGTTGTTTTATTACTCTATTTTATTATGCTCAAAGTTTGGGACCCTATTGGTTGAGTTTGAAATTGAAGAGGCCTAACCATATATAATCTGAAATATAATATTGCAGGGTCCCCTCAGTAATATTCGGAGTATAACTCCTCTTTTATTTTGGGTCTGTAATTGTGTAAATTGTGAATGATGAAGCCGTATCGGATGGAAAAAAAAATTGAAGTTTCGTCTAATTATCCGGCTTAGCGAATACAACCCCGTCGGTTGTTTTTCCGATCATCCAATTACGTATGTGTAAAGAAATATGATATTAATCTTCCGGTTCAATACTTGAAATTTATGTTACGAAAAGGAGGGTACCGTACAATACAAAAAGCTTAAGCAAGATGAACGACTACTCATAAATACGAAAATAGATTTCATACCAATTACTCCACAATTTCGAAGTCATTGAAAGAATGTTAACAACATAGCTAACGGTCGTCGGTCCACACAACAATTACCGTCCCGGACAAAGTGTATAGAATTACTTATTCCAAAATGACAACAATTACTGTCCCGACGAAAGTGTATAGAGTTACTTATTCCAAAATGAAACATAGCGCATAAGATTTCATAGCCCACAGAATAAACCATACGCCACAAGAATGTTTAGAAAAAATGGAAAAAAAAGCCACACAACAACTGAGGATATACTATACTGCTGTATAAAATTGCCCTCGTCATTGCAAGTCTGCAAACACCATGACGAGCAACTCAACGTCCAAGGTATTAGATTTATTATCTATGGTGATTTCCTTAAAATCTGAATTATTTGTCTACATATGTGTCAATTAAAAAGGAGAACAATTGTCTGTCTTCACTCAAATATAATGGTCCAAATACCCACCGAATGAAAATGGGACAAATGGAATTTACATCCACATTTGGATACTGTCACATAAAACAGAGGCAAAACAGTGTGAACTTGTGATTAAAAAATATAAACAATGCACCAACTGCCCCACCTAACTACCACTCACATTCATTTCGCAACATTCAAAGTGGAGATTGTGCAATCTATTCTATATCATCACCTATAATTACTTGCCACTAAAGCCTAAGTTAATGACACCTACTAATGAAATCTACCACACGCCTGCTTATGGCCTATAAAAATTGGTGAAGTCAACTCCACTTTGAGGCATAAAGAACAAGCCACATCCAGGTAGTTTATCTCCCTTTTTTGTTAAAAAAAAATGCACTCTACAAGAAGTGGATAATGGTATTCGATTTTCTTTTGACTCTTTTTGTTTTTTAAAGGTCAGCTTCCAGCATCACAAGCTCCACAATGGAACGTCATGAACGCATGCTACTTATTGCGGAGAGGTATCGAGTCCCCGGCTGGTCAGTCAGTGAGGAAAGGGAGTGCTATCGTCTTTTCTTCAACCTTTGCCGTTAAACTCCCCACGTCAACATAACTGCCATCTTCAACTCTTTATGGCCTCAACTTTCCGAAGAATTGACGTTCTCCATGCAAAAATATTTCTCTGTCCTGAAGGTTAGAACGAAGATCAACGCACTCCGAACCTACTTCCGGGAGTTCCTCACGTATCTTGAGACTCCGGGTGTTGAGGTGCATGCCGACTCGGGTCTTGTTAGAGTGAATCCTACGTATTGGGCATACGTGGGCCAGGTTTGTATTATGATTTCATTTCCCTTTCATTTTATAGTTTTTGGTGATAATATTTTATTTATTTTTTGTTGTGGTTTGCATGCATGTCATACCCATTTTCTTTTTTGGCTGTTAATCTAATTCTATTTTTCTTTGCGTTGCCACATTTCAATTCATAGGAAACGAATTTTGAGTCATTCTTCCGACATGTGGGGTTCCCGTGGTACGACGAGTGTGTCGATCTGTGGGACTTGAGAGATGCGGCTGAGGTAGACATGCAGGGAGGGTCCGGTGTAAGAATTGATCAACCAATCATGTTTGACGACACCGATGAGAGCAATGGAGCTAACGATGATGCTGAGGGAGCTGACGATGACGCTGAGGGAGCTAACGATGACGCTGAGGGAGCCGACATGACGGAGGACATGTTCGGAGCTGCCAACGATGTGCTTGCACATCTTGATGAGGCTGCTGGAGGAGATCCCGAAGGAGCGGAGGAACATGATGACGAAGACATGGAGGTCCCCGCACCTGTTGAGGTGATTCACATAGAATCCGACGATGAGCCCGAAGAAATGGACATCGAGTCAGACGCCGAGTCTTGCGTTGACTCAGACTAGATCTAAGTCGAAATGATGTTTTTGCTATATTATGCTATATATAGTGATGATATATGGTAGTTGACATCCTTCATGTCTTTTTGCTTGTGTGTTGGTATTATGAACTAAAAACTAGTAGTTGTTTTAGGTACTTGCAAGGTCGTTTGGGTTCTGTTGGGCAAATCGTATTTGGCATAATTTTGTTGTAGTATATTAGAATGCCAATGGTTATTATATATATTTTCTGTAAGGTGTAGTTTTCAATCCACCACCCCTAATTGCCGTGTATGTGTACCAGTTATTTTGGTGAGGGGAAAATATCAGGAATTATCATGAAGTCCTTTTTGTTTTACTGATTTTTATATGTCATTCTTTTCTTTTCTTTCACAATATCTATTGGATGTAACTAAAAAAAAACACTGAACAGTATTACACATTGCCGATATTGCATAGTATAAAATACAAATTATTCAATTTTCACCTCACCCATAGCTATAATATTTAACAACAAAAAATTGCCTTCATAGTAGTACTGAAATTTATAGTTAACAACAAAACAAGAAATATTTATAGCGAAATATTTCGAGTTGCAAACAAAAGCAAAAATAACAATTTAAATTTATAAACCTACAAAAAACACAAAACATGCATTAAAAGGCAATTACCCATACACGATAGCAACAAATAATAAGCAGGATAGTTAGAAAACATATTAAACCAAGACGTTCATTTTTAAAGCACAAAACACACACCTAAGACTATGCCATAACATATAGATATATTACACGCATAGAAACAACCATTAGTAATCAAACATCTCCGGTGACTTCAAACGTGAGGATCGCTACACGAACCCTTGCAAGAAGCAGGTTCTGGCTTATGCGGTGGACGAGGAATGCGCAAAGGAGTTCGGCTGCCCACCCTTGAAATTATAACATGGGCGGCATGCGTGTTAACGGAGCTCTCGGACGAGGCATCGTGCGGACCAGGAGCAAAGTTGTTGCCACTACAAAGTGATTGCAAAGCGTTGTGGTATGAATTGTCTGAAACAACATTAGTTCGTCCACCAAGGGGAGCCATAAAACCTTCGTTTGTAGAATTGCGGTCGTGTACAACTTCAGAAGTTGGGTTCAAGGAGTACACCTCCTCGAACATGAAACGCAAGTCTTCCCAACGCGGGTCACCGGAATGTTGATACGCAACGCTAAAAGGATTCGACTGTAATATAACAAACAAATTTAATGGCTCACATACGAAAAAGATTCCGTGAAATTTTAGGTTAATAGAAAATATCTATGCGACATTAGGCATTAAAGTTAACGAACTATATGCGTGTTGAAAAAATGGACTTTCGTTTTACCTCGAACACATCGTCCCAAACGGCAACCGGAGCGGTGAGGATGTTCGATTGAACACAGTGGCGCAAACTGGGCTTCCTTAGCATCCAGCTGAAGACATTGTAGCGCTTCTCAAGAAAGTGAAACCTCTCATTGAGTTCATCGTTACGAAATCTTAACTCTAGCTCGCCAAAGAGAACATATCTACAATAGTCGAGCACGACGGATCCTGGAGGACCATTTTTCCACTGCCCGAGTACATGCGACTCTATTAGTAAGTCCACGAACAAATTGTCGGTCTCTTTTGTCCAACGAGCGTCATAGAGGCATTCATCTTGGGGAATAGGAATTGAAAGGCGAGACATTGAGTGTATGTTTTTACAACAATGAATATTGAAGGAAAAGTTCAGTACCGAAGGTATGATTTTGCATGAGGTCTTGTTTGGGTTTTATAGGCAAAATTTTGTTGTATAACAATTATCCTACACATTGGATTCCCTTGATATTAATAATATGTTTGTAAGATAGTATATATCTGTTTGTAATGGCCACACTTTACAGTATAGTATATATCGGTTTGTAATGGCCATACTTTACAGTATGGTTGCAGGTCATGGATAGGACTAAAAGCTGAAAAAAAAACGTCTTACACACTAGGCCACTTTGTCAGTTATCACACACCTCCTTTTGTTATTTGTGGGGACTGATTGAAAATATTGATGGGCCAAAAGAGAGGCGAGAGCTCACGGGTTGCAACATCTTCAAAAGTCTTTCTTTGCATGATTACTATGTTGAATACAAAAATTTGGAATCTCACTGATACAAGCACCTCAATTTTACTCAAATTTTGTGATCAGACATTCCCTTTCCTTGGTTTTTAAGTTTCTGTTTATCCAAGTTTGATTAGTTTTGGTTTTGAAGTAGCACTTATATTTTCTTTTATTATTTGTTTTAACTTTTATCAGTGGTAGAAGATGCATGAATTTAGTGAATGAACAGAAAAAATCGATCTGATTTATTATACATGAATTTGTGTACAGATGATTTCTCTGAGGGCGTACAAGGTGTTGGAAGAAGGTTTGCAAATAAAGGTGAGGAGCTCTATATTTTAATTAATTTAATTTGAGGGAACATTAGTAATTCACACATTTTATCTTATATCTTATCTAACAAAACAAATGAGTAACACAAAAGTTACCAAAATCCTATCTTGGACCAATCCTTAATAACAAACATATGTCACATATAATCTCAACAGTATAATCTCATCTCTCATGATAAGATTGATCTAATCTCATCTATTCTAACAAATGAGCCCTTAGGTGCCTTTGTAAAATAAATAATTTGAGTGAATTAACTCGAAGTGAATTTTTTGTAGTTAATTAAGGTTAATTTAGAAAAGTGATATATTTTTTTTTTTGGTACAAGAAAGGGAGACAAAGACTACGCAAAGCCTAAATTAGAACATTTCGAGGATAAGCTACTCCAATCCTATCGTGATGTAGCCACATGCTCACCCCCGCGGCGGACTCGCTAACCTTTGCAACCCGCCAGGGCATTTCGCCGCCAAAGAGGCCAAATAATCCACCACGAAGTTGGCTTCCCGATAACTATGAGTAATGTCCACCTCCCAACGACGACCTAAGAGCTCCTTTATACCCCTCAACAATCCGCCATGCGGCCCACTATGATGGTCGTGTCGAACCATATCGATAATGCTCTTATTATCAACTTCAACTATAATCCTTCGAGCACCAATATCCCAAGCCAAAAGTAGGCCCTGAAACAAGCTCCAGAGCTCCGCTCCAATGATCGAGCAAAACCCGATATTGATCACAAAACCATGCACCCAATTCCCACAATGGTCCCGTATGACTCCGCCGAAGCTAGCCATTCCCGTCGACAGATCAAAACTCTCGTCCGTATTGACTTTCAATCCATTCATCGCTCTCGTCCTGAACATACAGCGTTGCGTTCACACTAGGGACGGTACCGTAATTAATCAATTCAAATGTGAACGCAACGTTCAAGCAGGACGAGGTACTGAACATACAGCGTTGTGTTCACACTTGAATTGATACATACAGCGTTGCGTTCACACTAGGGACGATACCGTAATTAATCAATTCAAGTGTGATCACAACGCTGTTAGAACGTTCACACTAGGGACGGTACCGTAATTAACCAATTCAAGTGTGAACGCAACGCTGCTGTATGTTCAAGACGAGAGAAGCATGACGAGGTACTGAACATACAGCGTTGCGTTCACACTAGGGACGGTACCGTAATTAACCAATTCAAGTGTGAACGCGCCGCTGTATGTTCAGTACCTCGTCCTGCTTCGGTACCGTAATTAACCAATTCAAGTGTGAACGCAACGCTGTATGTTCTAATTCAATTAATTACGGTACCATCCTTAGTGTGAACGCGCCGCTGTACGTTCAGTACCTCGTCACTTCAGCGTTGCGTTCACACTAAGGACAGTACCGTAATTAACCAATTCAAGTGTGAACGCAACGCTGTATGTTCAGTACCTCAGGAGGTACTGAACATACAGCGTTGCGTTCACACTTGTTGCGGAGGTACTGAACATACAGCGTTGCGTTCACACTTGTTGCGTTCACACTTGAATTCTGAGGTACTGAACATACAGCGTTGCATTCACACTTGAACGTAATTAACCAATTCAAGTGTGAACACAACGCTGTATGTTCAGTACCTCGTCCAGCAGGTACTGAACATATTCAAGTGTGAACGCAACGCTGTATGTTCAGTACCTCGTCCAGCAGGTACTGAACATATAGCGTTGCGTTCACACTTGAATTGGTTAATTACTCCAGGTACTGAACATACAGCGTTGCGTTCACACTTGAATTCAATTAATTACGCAGCGTTGCGGGTACTGAACATACAGCGTTGCGTTCACACTTGAATTCAATTAATTACGTAGCGTTGCGTTCACACTTGAATTGGTTAATTACGGTACCGCCCCTAGTGTGAACGCAACGCTGTATGTTCAGTACCTCGTCCTGCTTGAATTGGTACCGTAATTAACCAGCTAGCAGGACGAGGTACTGAACATACAGCGTTGCGTTCACACTTGAATTGGTTAATTACGGTACCGTCCCTAGTGTGAACGCAACGCTGTATGTTCAGGTTGCGTTCACACTTGCGAGATACTGAACATACAGCTTTGCGTTCACACTAGGGACGGTACTGTAATTAATCAATTCAAGTGTGAACGCAACGCTGTATGTTCAGTACCTCGTCCTGTACCTCGTCCTGCTTGAATTGGTACCGTCCCTTCAGGTGTGAACGCAATGCTGTATGCTCAGGTTGCATTCACACTAAGGACGGTACCGTAATTAATCAATTCAAGTGTGAAAACAACGCTGTATGTTCAGTACCTCGTCCTGCTTGAATGCGTTCACACTAGGGACGGTACCGTAATTAATCAATTCAAGTGTGAACGCAACCAATTCAAGTAGGACGAGGTACTGAACATACAGCGTTGCGTTCACACTAGGGACGGTACCGTAATTAACCAATTCAAGTGTGAACGCAATGCTGTATGTTCAGTACCTCGGTACCGTAATTAACCAATTCAAGTGTGAACGCACCGCTGTATATTCAGTACCTCGTTCTGCTTGAATTACGGTACCGTCCCTAGTGTGAACGCACTGCTGTATGTTCAGGACGAGACTGCTTGAATTACGGTATCGTCCCTAGTGTGAACGCACCGCTGTATGTTCAGGCGATGCGTTCACACTAGGGACGGTACCATAATTAACCAATTAAGTGTGAACGCACTGTCACACCCCGCCTTACTACTAGCTTTGAAAATCAGAGTAAAATTTTTGTTTTTATTTTCGAAAGAACGTGCGAGCTGGGTTTTCG